AACATCCGCTAGGGGGCTCTCAACCCTAGACTTGGTGTTTACAGCGCCATGCTCAGCCAGTGAGCGAACCGGCCATCCCTATATGGGATCCGAACCCGTGGCCTTGGTGTTATCAGCACCACACTCTCCCGAGTGAGCCACGGGCCGGCCCGGTGAGTGAATCTTGAACTTGTCAGACCCTGCCTCAGTTTCCCTGCAAGAAGAAACCCATTTTTAAAAAACCTTTATTAACACATAATTTACATACCAGAAAATTCACCCATTTGAAGTATATAATTAGTGGTTTTTAGTATATTCACAGAGTTGTGCAGTTATCACTACAATCCAGTTTTAGAACATTTCCGTCACCCCCAAAAGATCCCGTGTGTCCGTTTGCAGTCAGTTCCCATTTCCACTCCCATCCCCAGGCAACCATGAATCTGTTTTCTGTCTCTAGATTTGCCTTTTCTGAGCATTTTATATAAATGGAATCATACAATAGTCAGTCTTTTGCATCTGGCTTCTATCACTTAGCATAATGTTTTTGAAGTTTGGAAACCAACTTCTGTATATCAAATTACAACGTCAGTTCCCTTAGAGGCTGAATTTAGTTGTCTTTCAGCTGACCCAGCTTCAATTCCGATGCAGAATGTCTGCATCCTCCCTCCTAAGAGGTATATACCCCTAGATTCCACTTCTCAGATGATTTTTCGTACCCTTCTGGATAATCCCAATGGCCCCAAACTGCATAGAATGCAGCAATCAATATTAATAAAGCCTCTCCACTTTCATCATGTTTCTGACTGTCTTCCTCCATCTGGGGTGAATCAAGGTGACACTTTTCCTTTTCCAGCTGAAACCCTCCCTCTTACTGCACAGCATCCCCAACAGCTTGGAAAAGATGTCCCTTTGGTCTCATTTCCTGTCCTTTGACTCACCATCTACCAGTTTGGTTTTAGTTCGTCTTTGTGAACGCCACGTGAGACACCTCCATGGAGACTCCTTAAGTCAGCTCATGAACGGTCCCATCAGGAAGAAGCTCAAAATTATTCCTGAGGATTACTCCTGGGGAGGTATTTATATGACCTAATCAAGTGCCGTTTGTGGAGTTGGGGTTGAAGAGAAGTACACATTCAGAGGCCTTAATTTGTAGAGTGGGTTTTGTTGGTGGTGATGGTTTGTTGCAGGTAAAGGAATATTACTGCCCACGTTTCATAGATGAGCAAACAGATAAGAGACAGTACATGACCACCAAAATCAGTTTAAAATAAGAGGTTGGTAGGGAAGTAGATGGGGAGAGAAATACACATGATTCATTGAATCAATAATCGTTGAAACCTGATGTGGGTACACAGGGATCATTATATCTATGAGGGCACTTCAGAAAGTTTGTGGAAAAATAGAATTAAGATTAAAAAATGGACCTTTTGAAGTACCCCATACTCTTCTCTTTTGTATCAGTTTAAACTTTTCTTTTTTTTTTTTTTTTTATGACCGGTAAGGGGATCTCAACCCTTGACTTGATGTTGTCAGCACCACGCTCTCCCAAGTGAGCTAACCGGTCAACCCTATATGGGATCCAAACCCGTGGCCTTGGTGTTATCAGCACCACACTCTCCTGAGTGAGCCACAGGCCGGCCCCTGGACATGGCTTTTTAAAAAATATTTTTTATTATGGAAAAGTTTAAACCGGGCCGGCCCGTGGCTCACTCGGGAGAGTGTGGTGCTGATAACACCAAGGCCACGGGTTAAGATCCCCTTACCAGTCATCTTTTATAAAAAAAAAATAAAAATAAATAAAAAATAAAAAATAAAAAGTCATGTCCAAGGCCGTAGCTGGTTGCAGGTGAGATTTCCCCAGCCAGGGGTGCTTTGCAGATATCAGACATGCCCATGTGCTTGGACAGGTTTTGACCATCTCTCTCTTCTTAGCCTCCCAAAGCATCCTGATGCTGAATGTGGTCTGGCATCTACCACATTCTGTTCTGAAGGCCATAGTGAGGAAATACTGGGGTCCTTAGAGATAGGGCCAGGTAGAAATTTTGGATAAGTTCCTACTTAGTCATATAGGGATGCCTTGAGCAAGCAGGACTCACAGGTTTCTGGAGAGAAAACAGTCCAAGCTAAGGATGGTTTTAATGTGTGTCCAAGATACCCCAAGGCTAGGGGGTTAGGATGCTTCATTCTAGGGTGACTCATTGGCAGCTGCTGAGAGGCTAAGACTTGACTCTGCTCCTGGGTTCCTCAGGGAGATGGGTCATGCTGTCCCAACCTGCAGTCACCAGAGGGCTCATCCTAAACTGGTATCTTCATTTCCCCTCATTCCTTAGAATTTTATAGAAATGAAAAAAAATTAATGAGATCAAATAAAAAGATAGAAAATGGTGTCAGAAGCTGCAAGGGGTGGGTACACCTGTGGGAAGCTATCATGGCACTGAGAGATGGGAGGAGTCACAGGAGGCCAGGTATAGGCCAAGCCCGTGAGAGCACATCTGTTCAGCTCACCTCCTCATTTTATCTTTACGATGGTCTTTTCCAGTCCCTGCTTCTCTGGTTAGAGGGACCCTCCCTGCCCAGTGTGGCTGGATGGGTAAGGTGATTATCAGATTTTGCAGATGTTTGCTAGAGAAAACTCTCTTTGGCTCCAGATCTGTCTGTGTGTAGTTCAGAAAGGACAGACTGTCCTTGGCCAACACCCCCAGGTTCTTGAGTTCCAATTTGTAGTGGAGCATACGTACTTAGAGTCAGCCAGGCCTGAGTTCAAATCTCAGCTTGCTACTCTGACTAGCTATTTCACTCTGGGCATGTTCCTTAGTCTCTCTGAGCCTCATTTTCTTTCTTTCTTTCTTTCTTTTTTTTTTTTGTGGCTGGCTGGTACAGGGATCCAAATCTGTGACCTTGTTGTTATGAGGCTGAGCTCTAACCAACTGAACTAACCAGCCAGCCCCTCATTTTCTTTAACTGTTGTACAGGTTACTTCTCCTTATCTCCTAGGGTAATGATGAAGAAGAAATGGGATATCCCTTGTGAAATGCTTACTTAGCGCAGTGACTG